CGATGAACCAGCTGGTGCCTTGACCTCTCGAGAACATCGTCACGTAGTAGCGCACGCCCTTCAATGTCGTCTCCCAGATCCAGTTCTTCTTCACGCCGCCCACCTTCGATGCGGCAGCCTCACGATACATCTTGTTGGTGAAACCTGGGACTGTCCATGTCGCCCCATCTGCCCACTTGGCTACAATCTCGTCGTCGGGCGGCCCGCCGTCACCATGCAGGGGGTCGGCCCACTCTGGCACGCCCTTCTTGACGCCCTTCTTGGTCCGCAAGGCAGCCTCTGGGGAGGGCGATCAACGGCGTGCGCCCACATCACATCCCTTCCCCATCGACACAGCCTAGGCCTCCAGCATCGTTCCCTCGACTCCTATCGTGCCCGAGCCTATGCGCGCGTGCACCACGCGTGCGCGCGCGCATTTGACCGATCTGGTCTCCTTGTGCTGGTAGCTGAATTCGTACGTGTACTCCGCCACGGCCTCCTCGCCCGTTGTCTCGGGCACCTCGCCGTCGGCATCATCGTCAGCTTCAGCAGCGCAGATGCCTGTGTCCAACAGCCACTTCGGCGGCTGCTTCTTCTTGCTCCTGCGCCGTGTAGGCGTACTCATACATGCCAAGCGACGAACGTCAATAGAGGATAGGTGCCTTCTCCACCCTTCCCCCATCTGGCATTCATCGTTTGTCATGTATGAGTCCTGGCTTTGAGGATCGTCTGCTGCGTGTGCCGCAGCATGGCCCGAATCATCTTGGCGGCCTCGGTAATGAAGCTCTGCTGCTGGTCGGCAAGCTTCCAGTCGTCCTCCCTGCGCTCGACGAGCAGCTGGAGCTCGCGTTTGATGACCATCATACCAACCTGCGTCAACGGTGAGATCGCATCCCTCAAGGATTTGATGAACGCACCGTAGCGCTGCATCGAATCTGTATCCTGCGGGGCGTCCAGAGGAAGCCGATGGGGATCCTGAGGAGTCCTTGTGTGTCCTGGGGATTCCTGCGCAATTCTGAAGAATGCTAAGGGGTCATGAGAAATCCTGAAGGGCCGAGGGGTGCCCTGAGGGGATCCTGAGAAATCCTGTGGGATCGCAAGGAGCCTTCAGGCATCCTGGAAAACCTTTGAGGGGGATCCTGGGGCATCAGTGTGGATACTGAAGGGGAAGCCATCGGACTCTTTGGGGGGGTGTCCTGGTGAGCCCTGAGGAGCCCTCGGGGGTCCTCAGGAATCCTGACGTGTTCTGAGGAGTCCTTGGGGGTCCTGAAGAATTCTAAGATATCCTGAGGAATCCTGAGCAGCCCTTCGGGATCCTGAGTAACCCTGGGGAGATCCTGAAGAACCCTTGGGGGTCCCACGGGTTCCTGTGGGATCCTCTGGGATCCTGAGGAATCTTGGGAACTCGGGAGGAATTCAGAGGAATCTTGAAGGGCCCTAAGGAATACCAGCGAATCCTTAGGAGTCCTGATGAGAGCCCAGAGGAAGCCTAGGGGATCCTGAGGAGTACGAAGGAGTCCGGGGGAATCCTGAGGGGCACCCGGAGGGGATCCTGAGAAATCCTTGGGGCTCCCTCGGGGTGAGGAACCGTGGGGGATCTTGAGGTATACCATCGTGGACCCTGAGAAGGAATACGTAGGACTCTTTTGGAGGGGGGGGTCCTGGGGAATCCTGTGGAGTCCTCGGGAGTCCTGAGAAGTCCTGAGGTGTCCAGAGGAATCTGCACGAATCCAAAGGAACCCGGATGAGCCCAGAGGAAGCCTAGTGGATCCTGAGGAATCCTCGCATGTCCTGAGGATTCCTGAAGAGCCCAGCGGAACCCTGAGAAACCCGAGGGGGATCCTGAAGAATCGCTTTGGGGTCCCATGCGTTCCTGTGGGGTCCTGAGGAACCCCGGGGCCTCGGGAGGAATCCAGAAGAATCCGATGGGGCCCCGAAGAATCCTGACGAATCCTGGGGAGTCCTGATGAGTCCAGAGGAAGCCTTGGGGATCGGGATGAATCCTGTAGAATTCTGAAGAATGCTAAGGGGTCCTGAGGAATCCTGAAGGGTACCCAGAGGGGATCTCGAGGAATCCTTGGGAAAAGTAAGGAGGCCTTCAGCATCCGGAGGAATCTCTGGGGTCCCTGAAGAATCGCTGTGGATCCTGAGGAAGAATCCATCGGACCCATTTGAAGGGGGAGGGTCCTGGGGAGTCCTGAGGAATCCTGGGGAGTCCTGAGGAGTCCTGAGGTGTCCTGAGGAATCACTGGGGATCCTGAAGAATTCGAAGGTGTCATGAAGAATCCTGAGGAGCCCAACGGAATCCTGAGAACCCCATGGGGCGATCTAGAAGAATCCTTGGGGATCTCCAGGATTCTCGCGGGATCCTGAGGAATCCTTGGGATTCGGGAGGAGTCCTGAGGAATCCTAGAGGGTCCTGCGGAATCCTGACGAATCCGAAGGATTCCGGATGAGTCCAGAAGAAGCCTGGGTGATCCCGAGGAATCGTGGAGGGTACTGAGGAATCCTTGGGAATCTTCCAGAATACCAAGGAATCCTTCTGCATCCTGGAGGGGATCCTCAGGAATCATGGGGGATCCTAAAGAGTCCGTAGGCGTCCTGAGGAGGCATGGTGGATCCTGAAGAATCCTGAAGTGTCCTGAGGAATCCTTGGGGATCCAGAAGAATTCGAAGATATCCTGAATAATCCAGAGGAGCCCAACAGAATCCTGAGAACCCCATGGGGAGATCTTGAAAAATCATTTGGGATCCCAAGGGGGGATCCTGAGGAATCCTGGGGATTCCGGAAGGAGCCTGAGGAAGTTTGGAGGATCCTGAGAAATCCTCGGGAGTCCCGCGGAATAGTTCCTGAAGAATCCCGAGGAATTCTGGAGGGTCCTCAGGAATCCTTAGAGATCCTGGAGAGTCCGGAGCAGTCTTCAGAAATCCAAAGGAATCCTGAGGGATTCGCAGAAAACTTGGGGAAACATTTTTGGAAACGCGCCAGGAATGCCGACCCCTTCTCCGGCCCCGTGGGGCACCTTGCGCTGCTGCCCCAGTGCCAACCCCTTCTCCGGCCCCGTGCGGCAAGCCCTCGGTCGCTGGAGCTTTGTTGACCCTTAAGGATAAGCATTTGAGTTTTGAGGGAAGAAGAAGATCTCAACAACAAGCCGGGGCCGGTGTCAACGCCTTACCGAACAACAACAACAACAACAGCAGCAGCAACAACAACAACAGCAGCAACAACAACAACAATAGTAATACTAAAAATAGCAATAATGATAATACTAATAATAAGAATACTAGTACTAAGACTTGTAATAAGAATGATAATAATAGTAATACGAATAATAATGATAATAATAATACTACTAATAATAATACTAATACTAATAATAATGATGATAATACTAATAACAATAACAATAACAACAAGGCGAGATGGTTTGTGCAACGTTCGGCCTCTGGGGGGGCCCTGAAGGGCACTGTGGCCCTCAGTACACGACTCGCGACGAACGTTTGGCCGTCCGGGAAGGGGTCCGCACCTCTTGGAAGCCACGTTGTGAACAAATCACGACGTTGGTTGCCTGGAGAGGAGGGGGGAGGAGGAAGGGGGGGAGGAGAACGCAGGAGGATGACGCATGGGGTATGGAGATGGAAGTGGGGCAGGAGGAGGAGCGGGAAGGAGGATGGAGTCGCCGGTGCGGCGGGGTGGGCTGGCCGAGGAGTGGTAGTTTCCTACGAAGTCAGAGGGCTTCTTGAAAGCTTTTCCAGGGCCAATTGCGATCCTATCGATCCGACTCGATCTCGATCCTGGCCGGCTCGGTCTTCTTTGGTTCCAATATTCCGACGATCCGATGCTGCCCGATGCCTGCACGGATGCTGATGTGCATCCTGACGCGGCCGATTCGATTCGATTTCGGCCCGTGCCGATGCAGCCCGATCCTACGCACGTTCCGGTCCGATTCAATTTCCGATTCAATGTTGATTTATCCTGCCCCTGCGGGTCCAGGAGGAGGAGGAGGAGGAGGAGGAGGAGGAGGAGGAGGAGGCGGGGGAGGAGGAGGAGGAGGAGGAGGAGGAGGAGGAGGAGGAGGAAAAGGAGGAGGAAAAGGAGGAGCAGGAGTTGAAGGAGGAGTTCGAGGAGGAGGAGGATCGGAGACTTTGACTGGGGCTTATACATGACTGCAGGCATCCTTCATATTCCAACCCCTGGCCTGGAGTGAGGACTAGGAGTGTGGTTGTCGGCCGTGGCAATGAAATTTCCCAGAGTTGTTTTTTGCCCCCCTTTCTCATCACAGCGCGTCCTCTGGCCCCGGGGGCCACGATGCGCGGGCCATGCTGCTCACCCGAGGCTAAGACGTCCTCCGAAGTGAGCTTTCCAATCCGTTGCCCCCGAACTCCCGACCCCCTTGTCCAGGGGGAGCTTTGGGCCCCAAGTCAATTTTGGACGACCCTAGGTCACGTTGCATCTTCGGGGGGCATCGCCCGTCCCCAAAATTGGTGTCTTTTCTTGTGCCCGACGCGGGGCTCGATGCGGACTCGACGCGGATGTGGCGTGGATTCGACGCGGATTCGACACGGATCCGACGAGTTCGACACGGATTCGACGCGGATTCGACGCGGATAGGACCGCGACGGGGCAGACAAGGTCCCCCGAGGATGCAACAGAACCTAGGGCCCGATCACGGGCCCCAGAGGCCCAGATCGAGAAAAAACGCCGGCCTCTGACCCGAGTTGCGACGCGAGTCTGGCCGTGGCGGCGAGGGCCTCCCTGGAGCCAGACGAGGCCGAAGTCAAGGCAAGACGCCGGGATCGAACGACTTAGGTCCCAGAGACTTTGGGGGGTGCGATCAGCACGCTGGAAGAAGCAGCACTTTGGATTCAGGGTGGGGCTCTGGCTTCCGGGCCGTTCCTCAGCTCTGGGTCGAGGAACTTTCTCGTGGCCCGGGCCGAGGCTCGCCGTGGTCCACAAAAAAGCCCTTTCGCTTCTTGTTCGACGTTCCTTTCTGGTAGCACGTTGACCGTGTGGTTGCCAGGAGCGCTGCGCGCTGGCTCCGGGCGAGGCGCGGCCTGGTCCATCGGCGACGCCGTCGGCGGCGGCGGGCGGCCTGGGCGAGGACAGCGCGGCGCCGATGCTGTGACCCGCTCGGGAATGGGAATGGGAATGGGAATGGGGGTCGCTGACGAAGTCAGAACCAAACCTCACTCAGACAGGAGTTTGGGCCTCAAGTCCCTGGGAAGGCTGTCCAGAATCTCGCTGCGTTGCTTAGTAACAAGATGTGGGGTGTACAGATTGTCCAAGCCTCTCAACTGACCATCCTCGAAAAACCACGCTGACCACACATTCAACACTGAGAGTCTTGACTATACAGAGGCTTGTGAGACGAAAGTGCCCATCCCCGCCGAGATGTGGACTGTCTCCGAGCGGCCGAAGCACTGATCTGCACCTGCGGCACCGAGCTCGTGTATCGTCCAGGGCGCGCCGCGGTGCCAGCACCGCGCGCACCCCCTTCGCCTTCGCCCCGGACCCGTTCGCGCGAAATCGGTCAGCTTCGGGCAATCTCGCTTCTGTAGCTGCCACCTCGGGCAAAGCGTCGGCACCAGTGTGCCCTTCGAGTGGTCAACTCGGGAGAGTGCTTGGAGCCATGTTGCAAGCCTCGATGTGCTAACCCATTTTCACGAGCGTATGCTCTCGATCCCGAACCAGACGTCCGATAGAGCGCCAACCATCAGCCAGCTCGCCTGCGGGAGAGCGATATTTCCGACGGGGCCTTCCTCGCACAGCTTCTGCTCAGGAGGGGAAAAAACACACAGACACAATTAATCGTCGATTCCCCAGAAAATACAGGAAAATATGAGAAGTGGGGGGGAAGACAATAACCCAGAAAATACTGGAAAATATGGGGAATCCTGTTATTTGTGTGTATTCATGTGTGTGTGTGTGTGTGTCCTTGGGCCCCTTCAATAATTAAGCACCCGATACTCAACGGAACATTTCAAACCCGCTTCCACAGTTGTCCAGTTCCCCGCGAGGGACCGTCTGGTCCCGACCCGCCAGGGGCCCACGCAAAGTCGGACCGAGGCCAAACGGGCGCCTGGAACCCACTATGACAACAGCAATATTTGGCATCGGTCGGACGTGTGCATCTTCTCGGAGAGGACCATCGAGGAGCATCCTGGATCATCTTGCGGAAGAGAAAAAACGCACGCGCGAAACCGAAACATGTGTCGGGAATGGATGTCCGAGCGTTGGCGAGAATACCAACCGTCTCAAGTTTTAGATATCGAATGTCTGGACCGCCCGAAACATCGCCGAAGGCCTGCAGGGGGGTGCTCTGGGTACCCTGCCCCAGCGCTTCGCTCGCCAAAAACTCAGTGCATAAGTTGCTGGCGCTCCAATGTCTGCTGCGAAGGTACTGAGATCCGTGCAGATGGGATGACCTCTCGAAGCCAAATGCATCCGAACATGGCAACCTAAGCTACGGCCTCGGGAAGAAGATTTCTCGGATTGCGTATACGCCAGATGTCCCGATTTCTTTGGGCACGTCCAGCAACGGTGAACGGGCGACACTGCGGCAGGCCGGTGTCCCGCCAAGACAGCGAGGGCACATATTGTTGTCGATGAGCTTACACTGCTGCTGATGGTCCTCCATCCAGCTCCATCGCACCGCAATGCTTACAATGATTTCCGCCAGTTGCCTGCCTTTCCTTGTCAACTGGCTGTGCTAGTAGCTACCTACTGGATTGTCTGCGCCTCCACCGATGCCTGAACCACCAAAATGCCGCTCTGCCTGCTGCCACTGCAGCATGGCCAAGGAATGTGATATCTCATCTAAAAAGCCCTTGGCCTGATCAACGTTCACAAATTCGTCATCCTGTCAGTATCAGTCTGCCGTCGGGTCGCTCCAATGGGTTGGGTCCCGCGAGGTCCCAGCCGGCGCCCAACAGTTGAACGATGACGGCCGGCACGGGCCCTTTGATGTGCCTGCTTCTACGATTGGAGGGAAGATTTCGGAGAGCGTGAAAGAGAGGAGCCCAAACACAACGAGCCCCAGCACGAACGGGAGGAAACCGAGTCCAGCAATCGAGCCACGTCCTAAAAAACACCGGTCAGCAAAGGGAGACTTGGATCACGTCCTGGAGCCCGAACGTCGAGAACCACGGTTAAGCAGCGACCTTCTGTGCAAGATCTTGCAGCAGCTGCGACCCGAAGCCGAAGCCCTAAAGGTTGCGTGCCCATGCACCCATATGTATTGATATGAATGCATCTATGTACGTCCATACCGTTGTTGGAGCACGCTTGCGTCCCCGTCAGCTTTACTTTTCGAGTAATGTGATAAGGACGGGCCGCAGTTGCAAATCTGCGAACGTAATTTCTGTTTGGTCCCCTTCTGACCTCGTTGCCGTTGCGTCCGCCGTGCCACACGCTTGCCACCGCCCGAGTCTGTACCTACATGTTCCGATTGCAAGGTTGCCCGAACAAGTATCCCACGACGCTTAAGACGAGCTGTTTTTGTTGGGGGCAAGCTTGTGAGTTGAGCTTATGACCACCAACTTCCAGGGCAGGTAAACTGCAAACGCTGTGAGACATCGTCTACGCAATCGACGGACACGTCTTCAATAAAATGTGCCGATCCAACCAGCTGCACGATTAAACCATCCACCCACGGTCTTCTCACTCAACGAAGCATGTACCTCACGCATACGGGATAGCACAAAGTATGCCATGCATCGTCCGAAACAGGTGCCGCTTCTAAAACAAAGCGCAATCTCTTGAGTTGGTTGGAGCGCGAGAGAGTTGGCACCACTCTGGCTAAGCACACGTGGAGCCTGCAAAGTTGCAGCTCCAGTGCAAGAATAATTGGCGGAAGCCCCGATCGAAGTGCCGTTGAAACCAATTTGTCCCAGAGTTTGTTGTCGTACAAGCTAAGCAGATTGGTGTAAGAGCCTCATTGCTATACGTCTTCCAGCACTCGCCAAAAGGCCTCGCGCAAAGCTACATCATGTACAACAGAAGCATATCATCCGGGTTTGTATCAATCGTCCACTCTTTAGTGATATTGTTTCGGCCCAGGGGCCACAGCCTACACAACATCGCCATCGAACCAAAATCTACTACCGCCCGCCTTTTGGAGAATGCGTTTACATACAACGAGAAGAACATGCCAGGGCCACGCGAGGGCCTGTTCGCATGACTGGAATAACTTACAAAGCGAACGGAGGGCTTCATCTGGAAGCGTGTCAACACTTACGGGGGTTAACTGGTCCACGCCTAGCCTTGCACAGGGTCTCATTTTAGCCTTAACCACATCCGCGGTGAAGGGAGGAAGCTTGGCAACTTCGGCCCCCGCTGAAGGAAGTGTTTTGCCCACTGCGATTGATATGTTGTAGTTTCATGGTCAACCGAATCTTTGATTTTAGATATGATTTTGCCATCAGCAAGAAGTTCGTGCATCCGCGACGGTTGAGGATTCAAGTTGCGGAAGGCTTGACCTTGTTTGGTGGAGTCCACCATCCACCTCTTGAAACGACCGAAGAGATGATTGCATGGCACGGCGTTGCGCTCGAGTAGAAATCTTCTCAGCCTTGTCCACAAGATCGTCCAACATAGTGCGCCTCAGGGTTTCCAGATACCGTAAGTCATGTTGCCAAGCCTCCCAAGACATTGCCCCTTACGGTTCACCAAAGTTGTTTGAATATGGGGGGAAGTTGTCCGTGAGATGAATCTTAGCCTGGATCAAAAGTTATATTTGTTGTCGTCGATGCCGTGCTGGTCGCTGAAGCACTGCGTGGAGGAGGAGGAGGAGGAGGAGGAGGAGGAGGAGGAGGAGGAGGAGGGGCCTTCCAGAGCCCCTTTCCTCTGGGACCCGCTTCCTCCATGCCGAGAGGTACCGCGCCAGCATGCCCCCGAACTCGAAGGACTGCCTGACGAAGTGCTACTCGGTCAGGACGTTCCTGGAGGCCTACACGGCCGCCTCCGAGCTGCAGGGTGGCCCGAGCGGCCTCGGCCTCGTCTCGGACGCGGCGGCTCCCGGCGACGACCGGCAGTGGCTCGCGGCCGCGTGCCTCGTCGCCTGCCTGTGCATGTTCGGCGTGGGCACGGCGCTGGGCCGCTCGGGATGGTAGGCGGCCGGGTCGGCGCCGCCCGCGCCGAGGGCGTTAGGGGCTCTGCCAGGGGGTGGCTGCGGCGCGCAGCGTCTGTGAGCCACGACGGCGGGCCCGGCCGGCGCCGAGGCTCGAGCAACGCAGGTGTGCACGGCGGGGACGTAACATTTTCGGAGGTCCGCGCGGATTTCGTGGATCGGCGCCGGGCCCCCCGGGGCGTCCCGCATGGCGGTTCTTTTTTCTCTTCTTCGAGCGACGCGTGGGCGCGCCTGCTTCTCGTTGAAGGCAGCCGGTCGCCAGCATCGCTCCTTCTCCCCGCAGCTCCGTGAGGGGCCGTTCGAGACGGCGGCCTCCCCCACACCAGGAGGAGGAAGAGGAGGACGAGGAGGAGGAGGAGGAGAGGAGAGGAGGAGGAGAAGCAGGAGGAGGAGGAGGAGGAGGAGGAGGAGCCAGGGTCGATGGTCGGGCCAGGTGCCGACCTCGAAGTTCCCTCGGCGAGGAGACTGACCGCGGGAGGTGCAGCAGAAATTCCACCCCAGAGGGTAACAGGGAGGATGAGGAGGAGGAGGAGGAGAAGGAGGAGGAGAGAGGCCTTAACGAGGTTGGAGGGGTTGACGGGGAAAAGTCGGATGAGAGGAGGACGAGGGGGATGCAAGAGAGGAGGAGGAGGAGGAGGAGGAGGAGGAGGAGGAGGAGGAGGAGCAGCAGCAGCAGCAGCAGCAGCAGCACGAGCAGGAGGAGGAGGGGGGGAGGAGGAGGAGGAGGAGGAGGAGGAGAAGGAGGAGGAGGAGGAGGACCAGTGGAAACTCAAGAGTCATCAATGACGATCTTGGAACTAACCATTGAAGGAGCTGCCTCGTTGGAAGACAACAGATTGAAGATCCTGAGGCGTGCCAAAATATTGCTCTCGGGATTTCAACGCCACGTCTCAACCTGACTGCTGAATCTTGACGATCCAGAATCGTGCCAGAACGCCATTTTGGCATTTCAACACAGCGACTGAACATAGCTGTTGCGCTCGCGTAATCCTGAATCCTTCCGAAACACCATTGCTGGTACGCTGAACGCGGCGCTAAGGCGAGAGCCACATTATGAAAAGGAACCGCCCTCAATCCGTGAAACTAAACTCCTGCACAGTTTTAACACGAATGTGCGCGGCGCTAAGGCGAGAGCCACATTTTGAAAACCACCCGCCCTCCATCTGTGAAGCTGTTGTCACGTTTGAAACTTCAGGGTCATAAGTAGTGGGGAAGTCTCAGGCGAAACGCCTGGCACGCCCTAAAACATTGCCTCTGGGTGCGACAGGGAGGGGTTATTTATAAGGAGAAGAAATGGAGGAGGAGGAGGAGGAGGAGGAGGAGGAGGAGGGAAGGGTGGAGGAGGAGGAGGAGGAGGAGGAGGAGGAGGAGGAGGAGGAGGAGAGGAGGAGGAGGAGGAGGAGGAGGAGGAGGAGGAGGAGGAGGAGAGGAGCAGGAGGAGGAGGAGGAGGAGGAGGAGGAGGAGGAGGAGGAGGAGGAGAGGAGGAGAGGGTGGAGGAGGAGGGTGGAGGAGGAGGAGGAGGAGGAAGAGGAGGAGGAGGAGGAGGAGGAGGAGGAGGAGGAGGAGGAGAGGAGGAGGGCGGCCGCCGATGTCTCAAGCAGGCCCCCCGAGCGGAGCTATATGTCACGCTCCCTCGACGCCGCTTTCGCCGCAGGTCGCGCGAGCTCCTGGCTCCGGAGGCCGAGGGCGATGCGCCGTCCGCACTCCTCGTCCCCGTGCGCCTCCTCCCCTCCTCCCAGGCCAGGGCATGCCCGCAGGGGCCTTGCCTTCGGCGCGGCCCGCCCTCGCCGCCAGGCGGGCAGAAGAGGCGGTGGAGGCAAAACATTGGCGTCAACAGGCAGGAGGAAAAAAAAACACACACACACAGACACAATTCATCGTCGATTCCCCAGAAAATATTGGAAAATATGGGAAGCGGGGGGGGGAAACGAAAATAACAAACAAGTAGAAAAATGAGGAATCCTGTTATGTATGTATTATATATGTTCCCCAATCAGAGCTTGCCTCTGTAGGGGTCCTAGCGGATTAAAGGGTTAGGTGAGGTTTGTCGCCGATTTCGGTGGCCGGGCCCGGGTGCCCGGGTGCCCGGCGGTGCCCGGGTGCCTGGGTGGCCCGTGAGGTGCGTGGCCGATTTCGGTGGCCGGGCCCGGGTGCCCCGGTGCCCGGGGGTACCCGGGTGCCCGGGGGTGCCCAATAACCCAATAGCCCAGTAGCCCTATAGCCCTATAGCCCTATAGCCCTATAGCCCTATAGCCTTATAGCCCTGTAGCCCTATAGCCCTATAGCCTTATATCCCTATAGCCCTAATAGCCTTATATCCCTATAGCCCTATAGCCCTACAGGTCACAGTTCTATCGCCCTATAGCCCTATAGCCCGATAGCCCTATAGCCCGATAGCCCTGTAGCCAAATAGCCCTATAGCCATGTAAGGGAGCAGTTGGAAGATTTAAAAAAAGCTGATTGGGTTTTTCTCCGGTATCATATGTATTTGTGTGTCCCAGGGCCCCTTCGAACATTGACGTCAGCATGTTTTGGTTCAGGGTTCCAGAGTCGGCCAGATGTCGAGGCGGCGCAGACAAAATCACGGCCGCCATGTTGTTCTATCGGGCGCAGCTAAAACATGTTCCTCGCGAAGTGGTCGGGCTGGTCTGATTGACCGATCGGATTGGCCGCGCCGATCAGAAGGCCGTTTCTTGCTCGGCTGCCGAGCGCGCGCGCAGGCCGTTTTGTCCTCGGCCTCAGAGTGCGCAACCTACGGCGCAACCAGTAGCAGGCAGATTGACTCTCAGCCGCTGAGTGCGCATCCTGTTTTTGTTTTTGGCCCCCGAGTGCAAAACCTGTGGCGCATACAATACCAAGTGCTTGTTTTGCTCTCTGCCGCCGAGTGCGCAGCCTGTGGCACAACCGAAATCAGACCGTTTGATTTTCGGCCGCCGAGTGCGCAATATTTGGCGGAGGTAACGGGCGGCACTTGTTTTGTTCTCGGCCGCCGAGTGCGCAACCTACGACGCAACCAAATCAGGCAGGCTTGTTCTCGGACCCGGAGTGCGCAGCCTATGGCGCAACCGATCGCAGGCATTTGTTGTGTTCTCGGCCGCCGAGTGCGCAATGCATTGCGCAGCCACCATGGGGCAGTTGAATTCCCGGCCGCCGAGTGCGCATTTTTTTGGCGAGACCAACGGCAAGTTTTGTTTTTGTTCTTGGCCCCCGCGTGGGCAATTGCATGGCGCTGCGAATAACCTTCCGTTTTGCCCTCAGCCGCGGAGTGCGCAATTCATGGCGCAACAAGCAACAATCACTTGTTTTTTCTCGGTCGCCTGGTGCACGACTCATGGCGCAACCAATCGCAGGCAAGCTGTTTCCCGACCAGCGAGTGCGCAACGTATCGCGCAACCAACAGCCGGCAGGTTCGTTGATCTTGGCCGCCGAGTCACAAACTAAGGCGCAACCAATAGCGGACCGTTGTATTCTCGGCCGTTGAGTGCGCAACCTACGGCGCAACCAAAGGCACGCATGTTTGGTCTTCGGCCGCAGAGTACGCAAACTAAGGCGTAACCCGAACAAGGCAGGTTGTGGGATGCCGAGCGCGCAGATTAGGAACAGCCGACAGTACGCCGTTTATTCTCGCCCGCCTACTGTGGAACTGGCGGCGCAACCAGTATCATGCCTTTTGTTTGTGCTTGGCCGCCGAGTGCGCGGCCCATGGCGCAACCAACAAGAAGCTGTTTTCTTCTCTGCCGCCGAGTGCGCAACCTAATTATGTCGCAACCAAGAGAAGACATTTGGTTTGTTTTCAGCCGCCGAGTGCGCAACCTGTGGCGCAACCAGCAAGAGGTTGTTTTTCTTGTCGGCCGCCATTTGTGCAACTTGTTGGCGCAACCACTAGCAAGCACTCGTTTCGTGACAGGCTGCCGAGTGCGCAACTTATGCCGCAACCAGCACCAGATCGTTTGATGCTCGGCCGCCGAATGGGCAACCCATGGCGCAACCAGTAGCAGGCACGTGTCTGTTCTCGGCCGCCGAGTGCGCAACCTATGGCACAACCTCGAGCAGGCCGTTTTCTGTTCGGCCGCTGGGTGCGCAATGTATGCCGCAACCCATAGCAGATAGTGTTTTTGTTCTCGGCCGCGGAGTGCGGAACCTATGGCGCAACCACTCGCAGCCCGCTTTATATTCGGCCACTGAGTTCTAAACCTATGGCGCAGCCAACGGGTTTCTTGCTCGTATTTTTGGCGCCTCTGGACCTCCTCCTTCTCCTCCTCCTCCTCCGCCTCCTCCTCTTCTTCACTCCCATGTCTATCTGCTACCATCACGGGGTCCATCGCAGACCCGCTCTTTTTCACGGAGCCCATCACAGATCCACTTCTTCTCACGAAGGCTCAACCACATCACGTCCGCATTCAGGTCCACTCATAGGCCGACTCGCTCAGACCCAGTCGAGGAATTAGCCTCAAACGCTCTCTCACTCATACACCTTTAGATTCTACCATTGAGACACCCATCCTCATTCAGACTCACTCAGGCTTCTCTGGTGGTCCACTGCTCACCGTGATATAGCAGGCGTGGCCAAGGGGAACCGCCAAGTGTGGTGACGCTCCAGGAATCGCGTTTAGACCGTGTGTGTGTGTGTGTATGTGTATGTGTATGTGTATATGTGTGTGTCGAGCGGTTTGCTTGTTTCCGCCCCCTGACTTCTTTCTTGTGGTGGTCCAGTGCTTACCGCAATATAGCAGGCGTCGCAATTGGGCACCCCAAGAGGGCGCGGTCAAGGGTGGGGACACTCCAAGAGCCGCGCTCAGACTGGGGGAATGTCTCAGGCTGCTTGCTTGTTTCTGCCCCCCGGACTTTTCTCTTGCAGTGCTCACCGCGATTTCGCAGGCGTGGCACTTGGGCACCCCACAAGGGAGCAGCCAGGAGAGGGACACACCAGGAGTCGCGCTCAGATTGGAGGATGTACCAGGGGTTTTCTCGCTTTGGCCCCCCAGACTTGTCTGTTTGGATGCTCGACGGGCATGGGCCCCGCATCCCAAGCCGCCGTAGATCCAGAAAAGGAGAGGCCTCGCGCCACCGTTCTTCAATATGGAGCCATAATCGCACAGGGAATCCAGGCCAACCTGGCGGGCCTGGTATTAGCACGGGCGCGAGCGACAGCCGCAAATCCGAACTACAACGGGAGGCTCCGGCAACCCTGAGAAAAGCTAGACGGCGGCGGCCCCCAGGCGCTTCAAACGGTGACCGAGGTGTTCCCACCATTTCGGGACTCTTTTGACGAGGACGAGATGCGGGACATTCTGGTCTAGAAGCAAAAACCCCGCCCGTCGTCGTTCCTGACAGACCTGTTGGCGCTCCCCTTTCATGAGCGACACGACAGACGTGGATGAGAGCGATGACGGGGTGAAGAGGTGCAGGGAGGACGGCGCCTGCCTGTGGTGCAGTTTTTCGATATTCAGGGATGCGCCGGTGGAAGACAAGATCGCAGTGGAGCAAGCTCAGGAAGAAGCGTTCGACGTCAACGTAGGGGAAAACCAGATGGCAGGAACGGCGCGACCAACGCGCAGACGCAGAGGCAACCAGCCGCTGGCGTCTTCATTTGCCAAAGACGGCGACTTCAAGACACTGGTTGATTTCGTCGAGCATCTCATATACCAGCTGCCCGCAGACAAGCGGCTGACTCGGCGACAGATGCTCTTCATTGCGATGTTCGCGGAGGGACAAAGCGCGGGGCGAGGAGGAGAGGCTTCCGCCCGAGCAGCGGGGGGGCACCCCACATGCTTGTCTTCGGCGCTGAGGGCACTGGCAAGACACGTGGTTCAAGGCGGTGGAATACATCTGACCCAGCGAGACGCCCGAGTCCCCATCGATGTTGGTGTGGCGCCTTGCAAAGCGCAGGCGAAGAACATTTCTGCCGACGAGTGGAAACCGCGGTCTTTGCACATAGCTGCAAGCACCCGTGCCCAGGATATGGTCAACGCGAAGGTTCGCCCAGGCGAAAAGGCGGAGGCTCTCCATGAGCGGTGGAGAAACGCGAGGGCCTTCGTCGTCGAAGAGGTCGGGCACGGCGTTCGCCACCAACTATAACGGATTTTCGCGCCATGTGCGGGCGCATGAATACCCACGCGGCTGCGGAGAGTTCCTACAAGAGGAAAAAGTGCAGATTTAGCAGGCGCCCTATCGTCATCCACCTGGGCGACTTCCTGCTGTTGACACCGACTGCGCAGCTCAGCCTTGGGCGCGAGCGGCATCTGCGCGCCCAAAGAGCCGCCTATTCGAAACATTCTGAATCCTTCCAGGCTTGTCAAGAGGATCACCTGCTCCAACGAGCTCCCGGGGGCCAAGCGCCTTGTGCCTGGCGATCCCCTCGTCGAACTCTTGGGGCGCATGCGCCAGGGCAACCGGATCCTTGACCCCAGTCGGTAGCCGCTCGAGGCGACGTTTGCCGTGGAAAGTTGCCCCGACGCGCGCCCTGAGCTGGGCCCGCGGCGCCCGCAACTGGACTTCCTCGAGGGCAGCGGCCTGGCCATGCACTGGGAACCTCTCGTGCGCTGGATCACCAGGGCGCGGCGCGAAGCCCGCGCGCTCGGCGCGCCGCTGGTCTCTCAGCGGGCCGCCGACGAGTGCCAGATCATCCCCGTCGAGAACACGGCGGTGTACTCCAGGATGCTGAGATTCTGGTCAATATCTACCGGACAGGTCAGATGCGCAGCGCGACCCCCGCCCGGGTGGGAATGCGATATCGCTTGGCCAGCAAATTCAAGTAAATGTGCGGCTTTGCCCAGGAGCAGCGGGCCACATTCGTGGTTTTCGCGCTCCACCCGGGCGAGAAGAGGCACTGCAACAACGCGCGCCAGGGCGAGATCTTTTGGCCGCGCCGTGCCCAGACGGGCATCTGGTTGCAGGTCAACGACTTCAAGCAGGCGCCCACGTGGAGCGATTTCATGGCCCACGCAAGCAACGGAGAAGATTGTCCGCGGCCTGTTTTGCGTGACTCTGATGGAGACCATAGTCGCCTGGGAGGCGCCGTCCGTGGCGCGCAGCGCGACGCGCTTCGGCCCCAAGCTACCAGGCGACGACAGCCCCAGAGGGGCGGACGACGCGCGGCGCAGTGGCCATCGATTGCCCGCGCTGGGGGCCCCAGGAGCAACGCGGTGCTGACGACGACGCATGGCGGCTGAACCTTGACGCGATGATCTCTCGGGCCACCCAGACGGCGGACGCGCTCCCGGCGCGATTGCCGCCTCGCTCGCCGCTGGAAAGAGGTCCGCCGGAGGCAGTGAAGGCGGCCCCCAAACGCTTTGAGAAGCCGAAGAGGGCGAAGGCGGGGAAAGCCATTCGGATTGCCGATGCCAAGTGCAGACGGCCTCGTCCGACGGCAAATCCCAGCGGCTCGCCGACTGCGAAATGAGCCACATGTTTTTCCTTTTTTCGTCGGGTGCACATGCTTGAGCTTCCGCAGTGAGCATTGCTAGCGGACTTCCCCCTTCGCTCTTCCACTCGTGCTTCCCTCGTCTCTCCCAAATATTATTCCAAGGAGGAGGGCGTTACTGAAATCGTCGCAGTCGTCGCCGTCCCTGTCGGCCCCCGCTGTTTCCGCGATTTTCGCTTTCGCGCCCAGGTTCAAAGACCGACAGCCTTAAAAAGACGCGCCGGGAATATGATATTCACATGTGGGGATCTCCGCGTCGAGTAAGATCGGCCACCGCGTGCGCAATTCATGGCACAATCCATTGGTGACTCAAACAATGGATGGCGCAAGACATTGCTCAGCCTATCGAGTATATGTCCCTGCTGTGCCGAAATTGAGCATCTTGGAATTGCCGACGAGGAGCATGTTGATGGGAGTCAGAGAATGGTTGAGCGTAGCAGATTCCTAGGGGCTGCGTTCGATGTGTGCTCGCCGTCTTGGTCCCAGCGGCGACCAGCGCCACGATTGACAGTTCCAGCCTCCCTGGGCGTCGAAATTGTATTGAACAAATACATGGATAACCGTATGTTTAAGAGTATGTTTATACTGCATATCCTCGTCTTCGCAATCCTCCAGCTTCCTCCCTCCTGCAGTTACCGAAGGTGCCCTGGCCCATGGCGGTGTCAATGCTGTCCTCTTCCTCTCGTGGGCCTCGTGGGGGGGCGGGACCAGGGAACGGTTTCACCGCCAGGGCCACGAAACTCCCAGATGTCACACTTCCTCTGGTTTTTCTTGCAACACACCCGTTTTCCACCCACCCCCCTCCCCCTCCGCCCCCGCACATGCCTCAGACCATGATGCGCTACTCCTCCTGTTCAACTGTTCGTGGCCCCGTTTCTCCGCCGCACCCGATGCCCCACCCCATGCGTCCTCTATATTCCTCTGCCGGCGGGTCGCACACCCTGGCGAAACACCTCCTTGCCGCGTGCCGCACTTTGGCGAAAGACGTTCTCTGCGTGAGCCCCTGACGCGAGGCCGCTGCCAGCTTCGACGAGTGCAGCGCGACAGTGTCCTGGAAGGGCTTAGAATTCACCGATACCAAAACTGCGGAACTTTGTCTTCGAGGTTGAAATTCGTGGTGCTTGGGGGGGGGGGCTCCCAGGGGCTGGGGGCCGCCAGCGGTGCCACGAAGGGGTTTTGGTATTGGTGGGTCGGTGGTGGCACCTAAGTGTGACACCAGCTGTTTTCATCTCTTGTTCCTTCTCGCGCAGTCCTTTTGTTTTCGGGGCCGATGCCACGAGCGAGCAGATGCCACGTGTGATCCGACAAACTGCTCGTTACTCTCAGGCGAGGAGCCGCCCTCTCAGCTGATGCCAACAGTGGAATGTTCGACTGAATTGCGCTCGAAGCGCAGCAGACCCAGATTCAAGGGAGGCAGAACGACCCGGACCAGACAATTGCTGTTTATTAAACGGCCTTGGGCGTTTCTTGAGCAGCCCCGCCCTGTTCGATTCCTTCTTTGGGCGCGTTTGCTAAACGACTTCGCGTGTCGGGGTGGTTGTTATCGGGGTGGATCTTGTGCCCTCTACAGATGGGGTTGCGCACGATCCGACTCGACCCGATCCGATCCCCGCCTTCTGATTCCGAGCTCGATGTTCGATGCGAGCCGGCGCCGAACCGCTTCCTCCTGCGGCCTGCAGGGACCGAGCCGGATGTCCGCGACCCCAGACGAGATCCGATGCAGAGCCGATGCTTCGCGCCGATACGGGCGCGATACCATCCGTGTCCCATCGGATCGGATTCCGCGAACCGATCCAGCTCAGGCCTGCCCAGACTCCTTCGGGCATAGTCAGGACCCCAGGTAAGGGGACCCAGTTAGTAGTAGGGCCCTGGAGCCCTTCAATTGGCCCAAACCACCAGCATCAGGTCTGCCGTAGCTGGTGTTTTTCGGGTGACGGCAGTTCCGGTTAGTGGAACGGGGCGGGGGGGGGGGCCTCCCCCCGTACAGATCACTAAGCCAGGTCCCACTAAACCCAGTTCTGCCAACGCCCGACCCCTGTCGACTGGAAAACAGCAGCGCCACAGTTCGTTTGGACGGGTCTGGACGCCATAGTTGATTTGGGCGAGTCGACAGGGCTCTGGGCAGGCTTGAGCTTCAATTCTAGGGGGACACAATGACAGAAACACAAAAACTCGGAGATCCGCGCTGGATCCCCCTCCCTGGCGCGCGGAGCGCGCCGGGGGCGGCGCCGGAGGCGCCGCCAGGGAGGAGAGTCCGGCGCGGATCCGAGAAATCCGCGCGGACCTCCGAGTTTTTATGTTTATGTCATTGTTCGCTCCCCTAGAGCTGATCCAGCTCAGGCCTGCACCGACCCCTGTCGACTGGGAAACAGCAACGACGTACACATTGTTCATTTCTAATTCTTCGAGAGTTCTTTGATTTTGGGGGGCCAAAATCCTCTCATTTCGAATTGTTCTGTCCTGGGCCTCTTCCTGGCCACTAGTGTGCCAGGAACAATTAGAAACGAGCACAAAAACGACGTGCATTTCGTTTGGGCGAGTTTGGGACCCGGGACCGTCCAAGAATGTTCCGTCGGGAGCCTTGAGACGGGGGTCAATGCAAACGGGGGTCAGCCACGGCACCGGAACCTGCAGGATTCTGCGAAGATCCCCTCTGGCTGACCCGGGTTAGCGAGCCGTTCGTGGCCGCGAGGCGGCCGCACATATTGGTTGACCCGGGTTTGCGAAGACCTGCGTTGCAGTTTTTTGTTCTTGCATTGCAGTTTTTGGTTTCCTGCTGACCTGGGTCTGGATTGACCCGGGTCAGAAGATCCCCGACTCCGGGTGTCGAGCCGGCCGGCCCCGAGGAAGGGTCGAGAGTTCAGGGGCCAGAGGTTATCGCAGGCCTCGAGGCTGGCACCAATACCAAGATCGGCGGCGTGCCTCCACCGAGGGAAGAAGATCCCGGTCTCGGTGGTGGTGGTGATATTCTGGCTTCCAAGGTGGCCGAAAGATTACCACCGGCGCCGAAGCCTAGGATCATCTTCCCCCTGTGGAGGCAGCCCCCTGTGTTGGTGCTGGTGCCAATTTCCAGGCCTCCAAGATCACAAGACGTCGGATCATCAGAGTTTGGGATTGTCTTTGGGGTCGGGCGAAACGGGGGGGAACACGGAAGGCAGGGGTTGTGTGATTTGCCGCCTGCAGCTGCTGTCGGCCCCGCCGCCAGGCTCCCCGCTCGATGCACTGGCTCGTCTGGCCCCTGAAGGCGCCAGGAAAATCGGGTACATTTGATTCGCTACCCCCTTTTTATCGGGGGAGCGTAAGACCGGGGTTTGCCAGGACTCGGGTTCGCCATCGTTTTTTGACGACCGCGCCTCGGATTTTGACGAGGAGGAGTTTCGTGGGATGTCTGCAGCGGGAGGCCTCGTCAAAATGCAGGCTCGGCCTCGTCATTTTTTTGACGACCTCGTCGGGGATTTCCGAGTCCCCCGTACCCGGGTCTTACGTCTCCCCGATTTTACTCCCATCCCTTTCGTCCGGCCCGAGTCTGCGCAGACTCGCAGTGCATATGCGCCCCTGGCCGCGTCATCCTGAGACTTGTGATCCTTGGCATCGGCTGCAGCTCTGGATGCGCGATGGACGGCCTGTAGACTCTAATAATAAAGAAGCATTCGGAGGTTCGCGCGGATTCAAGACGGCCGCGCGGACCTCCGAAAGTTCATTTGTGTGTAGTTGACTTCTCCTAGGTGAACTGCACGTTGCTTCGGGCAAAGAGCGTGTCTTGCCTCGCCACGCCTGGCCCATTGCTCCATCCACAGGCCAGCGCCGCATTGCCCCTTTTTCCGCGCCGAGAGTAGAGCATCGCGCGGCACGTCTGCATTTGCGGTATGTCCCGCCGCGGATGTCGTGTGATGCGTGCCCCGCGACCAGTTTTAGCCTTCGTGTTCCATAGCAGCTGTGGTCGTCTTCGTGGAGAAAGCAGCCAGGCCCAGGATGACGATAAATTGTTCCAGAGCAGTCTAGAACGCGATCAGAGCGTTCTGGAATGGCCGCTGCGCCCGATACATCTTCCAGACCCGCCAGCTTGCAGAGATTCCCGAATTTGCCCTCATCCGAAGATGTCCTCACCCTGTCTTCGCCTCAGAGGAGGCGTCGGGAGAGCAGCTCGTGAGCCTACAGCGGGGTGCGGGGTGGAGGGGGAGGAGGGGGAGGAGGGGGAACACTCGCGCATCTGAAGGGGGCAGGCGGTTCATCCCGGAGCTCATGTGCCGAGCTTGGTGTCGAGCCAGCTCTCTGGAATCGACCCGGAGGCCCGAGCGCGTTCGCTGTTGGCGCCGTTTTGGGATTCGGAGGAGAGGAGGCAGGGGGAGGGAGGAGGGAGGACAGAGGGGGGAGGACCAGCACAATGTGGGAAGCAATGATAGACGCATGGGGGAGAGACTCGCTGCGCTTTGTCCGAGCCGTGGCTCTGCGGGTCCAACTCTTCAAGCGACCCGCCGAGCTCAGGCAGCCCATGCCCTAGAGAGGAAAGCCTGCAGCGTAAAGGCTCGGGGACTTGCACGAGAAGGCCGAGAGAGGAGGGAAAATGGAGGGCCACCAGGAGCAGCTGGAGCATCAAGCAGAATTCCAGCAGCAACAACGGGAGGAAGAGGAGCCTCCGCCGTCGCGGTGCCGCCGTTGCTTCCGTCGTCAGCCCTCCTCGTCCTCCTGATCCTCCTCCCCCTCCCCGTCCTCCTCCATTCCTTCTCCTTATAAATAACTTCTCCCTGTCGCACCCCGAGGCCTGTTTTTAGGGCGGTCCGGGCGCTTCGCCTGAGAATTCCGCACCATTTACGACCCTGGAGCTTCAAACATGACAACAGTTTCACGGATTGAGGGCGGGTGGTTTTCAAAATGTGGTTATCGCTTGAGCGCCGCGCACATTCGTTTTAAACATTGCAAGAGCTTCGCGGATTGAGGGCTTGTCGTTTTCAAGGTGTGGTTCTCGCCCTAGCGCCGCGCACATTCGTTGTAAACTTAGCAAGAGCTTCACGGACTGAAGGTGGTTCATTTTCAAAATATGGTTCTCGCCATAGCGCCGCGCACATTCGTTTTAAAACGTTGCAAGAGCTTGACGGGTTGAGGGTGGTTCCTTTTCAGCATGTGGTTTTCGCTTTAGCGCCGCGCACATTCGTTTAAACAAATTACAAGAGATTCACCAGTTCCCATGACCAACGTACCAGATATGATGTTTTGGACGGGTTCTGGCTTATGAGGTGCACAGGTCATGCTGACTCGCGGTGTCCAAGTCCCCGGAATGGCGTTTTGGCACGATCCAGGATTGTCAAGACGCAACAGTCATATTGATCCGTGGCGTTGGGATCCCGAGAAACATGTTTTTGCATGCTTCAGGGTCTTCAAACAGTTGCCTTCCAACGAGGCAGTTCCTTCAGTAAAAAGACTATGAAGAGGGAGCTTGGAGGGAGGGTCTATTCCAACCTCGTTGATGCCTCTTGGGTTTACACTGGTCCTCCTCCTCCTCCTCATCATCATCATCATCATCATCATCCGTCTGCTTTTCTCCCCTCTTCTCCTCCCTCTCCTCCTCCTCCTCATCCTCCTCATCCTCCTCCTCATCATCCTCATCCATTCCTTCTACTTACTAATCATGTCTCCCTCCCTCGCCCCGAGGCCAGTTCTTAGGGCGGTCTGGGCGTTTCGCTCGAACCTTCCTCACCACTTATGACCCGGAAATTCACAAATTGACAACACTTTCACATATGGGGGGCGGGTGGCTTTCAAAGGGTGGCTCTCGCCTTAACACCGCTCACACTCCTTTTGAACTGTTTACAAGATTTGCACAGATTGAGAGAGGGCCGTTTGCAAAATGTGGCTCTCGCTGTAGCGCCGCGCACATTCTCACACATTCTCTTTAAAACATGTTTCTAGGATGATTCACGTATCTCCACACTGTTGTGACATCGATCCAGGACAGAAAATCACCCCAACGTCGTTTCTTTTTCACCGATTCTAAGTTTTGTTCATTGCT